TATTCTTTATATGTAATTTAAAAGCAAGCTTTTCTTTATAAAAACTTTAATTGAATTTCAATAAAGTTAAAAGCATGACCTCACCATTAATATTTAAAAAAAAACAAAAAACATTTAACTTTTTTAAAGGTCAAAAACCAGTATTTTTATAAATATTATATATATATTATTACAATAAAGACTACTCTATTGTTAATAAATACTATATATAGTAAGTTAAGATATATAAGAACTAATAGATATAATAAATATTGTATATATAATAGATATAATAGATATAATAGAAATGATAGATATGCTAGAACTAATAGATCTGTTAGAAATAATAAAAATATTAGATTTCTGATATAATAATGAGAACCAATCAGAATCAAGTCACATATATTAAAATTAGTACTTTCATCAAAATCATTCTGATCTCATGATCTTGTGATTAGAATCACATGACTTGTGCTCATTAGAACTGTCTTGGTGAACTAAATCCAATGATAATTGTTTTATCCAATTTGATTTAGTGCATTAAAAGTTATAATCAAAAATATGTAAAACTCTTAATGTCAACACTATGTACTAACAATATGATTTCTGATTGGTTAATTGACACATGAAAATCCCATACTTATCCAAAAAAATACAAAAATCTCTCTGCTAATTTGCATATGTATTGCTTTATTACAATATATATGTGTAAGACATTGGTCATGCAATGATTAATATCATGAAATTTGGTTCGTTGGAGCAATGATTGACTGACATGCGCTGGTAGTGGCACGTTTCAGCCAATCATTTGCTCAAATTTTATGATATTTATTATCGCATGATCCAATATCGATGTTATCGTGAAATTATGATCATGATTTACTAATCGTGGTTGGCTAACAGAGTTTTAATTTAGGATCGTTGTGCTTACGTAATAACGTGCAAAAAATAACAAGAAGAAAAAAAACCCATGATTATAGGAGTTTGCAGGATAAATTTCGATAAGCTATTATATCAGTATATAGTATCAATCAATCCTATTTAGGTACTGATGTTTAATTTTTAAATTCTGATACGTAGCTGATTTGGGTGGTTATGCTTGGTTTGCACAATAGAGACTGTTAACGCTATACAATTAATCCGACACCTGGTGTGCAACATATAAAATAATTATTTTACAATACCAGACCATTTCGTTAGTACATGCTATGATCATAATCCAACACCTGTTTTATTATAATCATAACATGTACTAGCAGAATGGTCTTGTATCATATAATAATTATTTTATATGTTGCACATCAGGTGTCGGATTAATTGTATAACATTAAGGTCTCTCCTGTATTTGGTTATGTTACCCTTACATATTTATCGGAAATTTTAAAAATAAGATTCCGAAATTCATGAAAGTATACAATGAATCGCAGGCTGAGATTTAATTTAATTTTAATAAAAATGATAGTTATTACATCGTAACAAAATAGAAATAAATTCATGATCATATTTGTCGGACAAGATTCAGTAATCGAAAATTTATAACGATAATGAAAAATAATCAAAATTAATAAAGTAATAACAGGAGGAAACGTTGATGTTACACAATTGATTTTACACACGGTGTGAAATACATAAAAAAAATATTTTACAATACTTGATCAGTCCGCTAGTAGATATTATGATTATAATCCAACATCATTTTTATTATAATAAAAATGGTGTTGGATTATAATCATAATATCTACTAGCGGACTGATCAAGTATTGTAAATATTTTTTTTATGTATTTCACACCGTGTGTAAAATCAATTGTGTAACATCAACGTTTCCTCCTGTTTAAAGTAATAGGAGGACACAATTCTGTTTGTGATACCTAATTAAATTGACGCTTACTATATAAGCGTTAAAAAAAATGCACCCAAAAATTATACGTCATTTTCATATTACTATATAAGATGTTTTTATTTAAAATTTAACTTGCCACAGTCACCTTTTTGCATTGTTTGGCAGACGGTCTGTTCCAAAAAAAGTATGCATATTACAAAATTAATTCAAACCAAATATTTATTAATATTAGCTTAAAGCAATTATCACATAACGATAATAATTATCATAATATTTTTAAATTTGTACGAATGTTCGTGTTTTCCGATTACTTATATAGTTATGAAATATAAACATAGACCGATATATCGATACGTATCTGAAAACAAAGCAAGTGGTGCATTTGAAGTTTACATTTTGGTTCTACAAACTGCATTTAATAACAAATAATTAATTGTACAGTACAGTATACATAATGTTTATATTTTATTATATGAAGGCTATTCTTGCATTATTGGAATTCGATAATTTTCTTTTTTATAACCTTCCTCCCCATCATCTTTTCCTTCTTGCTGTCAAAAGGATGAATTTTATGATATCATAATTCCTTCTATCCGTCTTCTCACCTTTTTTTCTCTTACATAACTTTCATCCTTATTTTAATTCATTCATTCACATATAATTTATTCTATCCTTTATATTCAGAATGAAATTAATTTATATTTTTTGTATTTTTTTATTAACTTTTTCGTGCTGGTCATTGGCTCAAGATGGATCACAATTATATCAAGTAGAAATGACTTATCGCGAAATTAGTACTGAAGATTGCTATGCTTTAGCAATACTTAAAACAGAAGCAATTGTTAATATTCTTTCAGGCCTTACTTCAGGTCTTATTTCAGGTCTAACTTCAGTTGTTGGTAATTTATTATCTAAAAGAGGCGGAAGCCCTCAAGCTGTAGGTGCCGTTAATTATGCAAATGATGTAGAAGTATGTAATACTAATTCTATTAAATATTATTCTTATCTAACCTTTAAAATAATTGTATTAATTGTATTAATTCTAATCTAACTTTTAAAATTAGTGGATATCTCAAATATCTTTGGGCACACCACAACAATCATTTCTTGTGGTCTTTGATACTGGAAGTGCAGATCTTTGGGTAAGAAGTATTAAGTTGACACTTTAAAAATATTGATTTTTTTCTAATTAAATATATGTATTTTGTAATTATAAGGTTCCTTACGTTTATTGCGATAACTGTCAAAATAAAAGGTCATTTGATCCCAGTCAAAGTTCTACCTATCAAGACATTGGTGATGATTTCTCCATCACTTATGCGGACGGTTCAAGTTCTTATGGTTGGATGGAAATGGTAATAAAGTTAACAATTATTCTTCTATAAGTATTCAACTATTAATTACAAGTTTTAATTCTATGTATTAGGATACTCTTCAAGTTGGATACATGTCTATTCAAAATCAGCAATTTGCCATGGTATATGATGAGAGTACAGCATTCCAAAATGATGTTATTGACGGTGTTATGGGGTGTGGTATGTTTGAAATTTTATTTATTTAATTAGCTAATATGCATTTCAATCATCCAAAATCTTTTCAATTTTTTAACTATTCTTTTTTTCAAACTATCCAATAGGATATGATTCACTTTCAGTAAATTCAGGCACTAAGACCCCTTTCACAAATATGTATAATCAAGGTCTAATTCCTCGACAAATATTTTCAGTACAATTGCGTCCCAAACGAAACCAAACTACTTATGGTGGAATATTCATTTTTGGAGGCATCGACTCTCGTTTATACACGGGTTCTATAACATATACACCTGTAACTTATCAATACTTTTGGCAAATTGGAATTGATGCAGTTGTATATAATGGAAATAATGTTTTTACAAGCTCAAAGAATAAACAACAAGTTATAGTTGATACCGCAACTGCGTTACTTATTGTAGGAACAAACGTAGCAAAAACACTGCATTCAAACATGAGAGGAAGATATGATTCTTCTTCAGGCACATGGCAGGTTCCTTGCAATTTGAATAGTAATACAAAAGTGGCAATTAAGATTAACGGTGTCTCACTTCAGATTAATTGTAAGTTTATCATAAACCTATACATTAATGTTTTTTGTTGATTATTTTTTAACTGATTCGATTTTTTTATGTAATAGATCAAGATCTTGTGAGAGAAAGAGTAAGTTCTATAAGCTCTTGGTGTTATTCTGGAATAGCTTCTACTGATGCCTCGGTGAGTATTTTATTCTAGCATTTCTAAGCATATTTTTACCTGATTTGTCAACTCACGTTAAATTGTTTTATCAAAATAGATCTGGATTCTTGGAGGTACCTTTATGAAAAATTATTATGTAAGTATTTTTCTATATTAATAATGGTATTAATAATTGATTTTAGCATATTCATTATTAATTTTTTGTATGTTTTAAAGGTGATATTTGATCGCGAAGTAAATCGAGTTGGATTCGCTACACCTGTTTATGCTTATTAATTAGATTAGACTTGTTAAAAATTAAATAGATCTTTTTTTTTTTGCACTATGTTATATTAAATAACTGGTTTCCTGTCATATCAGTCATATGATTTTCTACCGTTTAGTAGTAGAATTAACGATATAACATAAGCACTAATTATAATTAACTATTAATCGTCCTGTTCTAAATTTTAATATCAAAGTATGTTTAGAATAAATGGGTTTAATTTTTTAATTTATGTATAATGGTTTAACTTTTCCTCAGAATGTAAACATTCGCATATATATGTAAGTGTGAACCTACCTTTAGATGTTATATGTGAAATGTTACGAGAACAAATTTTTAAATCGTAAAAAGTAAAGTTATTAGAATTAGCGAATTAATACGTATTTTAAACTTAGTACTTGAATTGGAATTACAGCAGATTATTATGGTAGATCCAGGCCCGATTTTAAAATCATACCATACCAATCAGCTATAATTCTTAACCCTAACGCTAATACTAATTATACGTATATATGGCTTTAAAAATTTAGCCTGTACCATACGGATCCGGTCATCCATACCATACTGATCTGCGAAATTCGAATATCGTCGAATTTGTCATCAGTGGTGAAATGCATTACGTACGCAAATGTATATTTAACTTGGATAAATAGGGTTGATGTTTATTTTAAAGGCAAAAAATGGTCTTTCCTTCTACGATTTAAAAAAGTAAGAGAAAGAAGGAAAGAAAGAAAAAGAAAAAGAAAATGCAGTTTTATATATAATGTTGTGAGAGCACCGTGTCAGTATAATACATATGTATGTATGCCAATCACTATTAAGAACTATTAAGAACTATTAAGGGTGGCTGACAGATCAACCAATACATCGTATTTGTATGTACTTAATTGATAATTAATGAAAGGACGAGAATTTAATACGTATGCATATAAAATTTACATATTATTTATTGCAAGTATCATTTATTACAATATACGTAACAATAAATAAAAATTTAAACTATAGTAGATATACTATTTTGTCTATCTTTTATTAAATTTTTTAATATTATTATTTATATGTTTTAGAAAATTTATGCGTACTTATCCAAAAATTTATGATATTTTTATTAGTAAGTTTTATAGATCATTCTCATTCATTCGCGAATTACCAATGAAGTTTTATTTACTACGTAAAGTATATAGCAAACATATAATAATGTATTGTCAATAAAGTATGTATAGTATAGCCAAACCTGTCTAAATGAATATGATCGGTGGACCAATTTTGTATTCATTTAGACAGGATGTTCATTTACAAAAAAATCAAATTTGAAAATTTTTTATGCATTATTCAGTTAAACAGTTTATGCAATTAGCCTTAGTAACTAATCCGGTTCTGAAATTTTGTATTCATTTATACAGGATATTCATTTATACAGTTTTCATTTAGACAGGTTTGACTGTAGATTCTTAAAATTTTGAGTAATTATCCTGTCCGTGGCTGTCATGCCAAGTTCTCTAGAACGCACGCACACATGCACACACTTTTCACGCATAAAGGACTGTTCTAGTAATTGAAGTAATGTCATGTATTCAGAACACTATGAGTGTTAGACTAAGTTGATGCTTACATATCGGAAATCAGCCGGAACGATAACCAAAAGTACTGTAGTAATCTCTGCCACGACACACGTATATATAGTCTAAATTTTCCAAGCGTTAAGAAGGATATAATAGAAAATCCAATTAACCTCTGTATTTGGGAACATATTCGAGTTCTGTATGTCTGTAGGACTCAAACTATTAGAATTACCTAGGTTGTCAAGATGAAATACTTTAAGTTTGTAAAATAAAGCGGGTTAAGTTTTCCAACTTAGAGCAAAGATATCAGTATAGACCTTGCAATTTGATGTTTTCTGCCAATTTTGAATACTATATTCATAATTGAAAATATTCACATATTTGGACGATTTATATCGTATGAGCGTATCATTTTGGAAAATTAAGATTTTAAAAATGGGATTGTATACGTATCAAGATACTTTTGCTAATTCCATAACAAAATAATTATAGAGAAAAATTTTCTATTGATTATTTGAATCGTAATTGTGTCATTTACTATTGTTGTTTGACATTTCTTATAAAAAATTCCTTCCTGTGAAAAAATGGGTTAGACGTTATCTATGATTTCCAATAAGAAATATCAAAAAAAAAAAAAGTAAATGGAGCACTTTGTAGTCCAATTACAAATGTGCTACCTATAATGTATAAGGCGTCATATGGTTTTTATTTGCTAGGAGTCATCCCATAATTTACGGATCATATAAATTCTAAATACTTGTATTAAGATTTTAAAATCGCTGACATAACGATAATACCATTTTGAGTAAAAGCTGCTCGTGACAATACTGCTCACCAATATTTAATGTTATGTGATAATTTCTCTGACCCATTCATAAATTATTAGGTGATGATTATTCTTCTATTTGTTCATTAAATTGCTAATCTAACGCTAATGCTAAGAAATTATTAAAATCTTCTAGAATAGTCTTTTGTTACCGAAGTTGTGACACTTAATGTCGTGTGATATTGTCGATATTACGTATTAACATACTGATACATCATGACTCACTTTTAATTTGGTAATAATTCGGTGGAATTTATTTTCCGAATTTATCATACGTATTCCCATGAATACGTAATTGTATTCGTCATCACTTACGCAATGTAAAACGTGTAATATATATAACAATGAATAATGCGTACTCATTGAGTTAAAATACGTGAGCGCTTACGAGTGCTAAACGCTAGCAAACAGCGTAATCAAGAATTCTTTGATGATCTTATGAAATGAAAACTATATAATAGCTATAAAAATCAGTTTCTCATTGTAGAAACAGATTTCGATATTTAAATTCCCTTATTTGATAACTTTGAATAACTTTGAATACAGTAATCGTTATTAATTATTGACCATATATATCAGTTGTAATAAAATTTACTAATGGCAAACGTCAAAGTTTTATATGGTTCAATAATTCGCCGATTCACAATTCCAAATGACACTACTTGGTCGTCCTTTGAATCCCAGATTCGCTCACTCTTCCAGATTCCTCCGCAAACCCCTATCTTTCTTTCTTATACCGATGAAGATGGTGATATAATCACCCTATCGAGCGATTTGGAGCTTCAAGAAATACTTTCTGACCAAAGTTTGTTCGGTTCTTCTGTAAAATTCGTTTTGTCCACTCCTGACGAACTTGTCCCTAACGAAAAAAATAGTTGGGTATTAGAAGGAAGTACTTCGCAAATAAAGGAAGATGGATTGCCTAAATTTACAAATGATAGTGATGTGATTAGTTTCAGTTCTTCCGATGAGGACGATTGCTCAGAAGCCTCACCAATAAATATGCACGAATCACGAAAACAAAGTTTGAACGAATCTCAACAACCATTTATGTTCCAAAAAAATCAGGATTATAGACATGCGACAGCCGTTGATAAAGAAACTGAAGAACCAACTTTTAAACCAACTATAATTGGTCAACAACCTGAAACTATCGGCGAGTCGTCTTCTTCACCTATCGTCGACGAAGAATTACCTAAAAAAGAAGAAAAACAACCTGAATCAGATCAACCAATTGATAATAATAATAATAAAGAAATTGAATCAGATCAACCAATTGATAACGATCAACCTATTAATAATGATGAAAACGAATCAGATCAACCTATTAATAATAATGATGAAAACGAATCAGATCAACCAATTGATAATAACGATGAAGAAAGCATATTTAGGATTCACTACGGCTTTCCTCCAATTAATGATAACGGTGAAGCAAACATATTTAGGATTTATTACGGCTGTCATGATTGTGATGCACGATTCAATGATAATTCTTTTTGTAATGATTATAATTCATATGATCATCGTTCATTCGGTACACGTAGGCATTGCTCAGCAGCAGTAGCATTTTACAAATTCACGGAATTTATATTCAAATTTATAGATTTTGTATTCTCATTAGCAACCTCATTTTGCAAATTCATAAATTTTTTGTTATTAATATTCCTAGTAATGATAACTTCTACATACTTTTTTACAACTTATCCATTAGTAAAATTTTTGATTATAGTGTTTGCATTTAAATATTTCTTTTTTCGCAACAATAACAGTGGAAGATTTCGTCATGGATGTCGATCTGGTAGATGTCATGAAAGACGATCAGACATGAGAAATCAATGTTGTCAACGAAGGGAATGTGACAAAAATACCAATGATGTTGTTGCTGAAAAGGTAAAATTTTTAAGAGATATGGGATTTGAAGGTGAAAATTTAGAAGAGTTGATAAAATTGTATAATGGAAATATGGAATTTGCTGTTGAAACATTATTACAACGGCAACAATTATATTCATAAACATCGTACGAGTTAAATTATTAGGTTTCGTTTCTTTCTTTTTTTAACAAAGCTTCAATTCATATTTATTTATCGTGAAGTTGATCCACAAAGTAAGAATTATAGATAACTACACGACTAGTTTTTCTCGGTTGCAAATAATATAATCATTAATTCGAGGCTTCTGTTCTCTAATTAATCATGTGCATTACAACCAAGGAACTTTTATGGTCATTTTTTTTTGTAAAAATGATTAATATCATTTTCAATTCATCTTTAGTCTTTTTAACGAAACAATATTTTAACTTATCAATATTTTTAAGTTTTGGTGTAAATAATTTTTTGGAATATTTGAAGTTATCATGAATTTCTTTTGTAATAACTTATTATAATTCATTAATAAAGATATAAGCAATAACTTTATTTATTTATACACCTTTTTCTAGCACGGTTCATATAAACCAAATTTATTAACAGATAAATTTCAAATTCAACAATATATAAATTTATTAATAAATAACAATGTAATAACTCTATCTAAACTCTATCAGAAAGAAAATGTGTAACAAAATCGTCTGACAAAAGAGTAGATATCAGAAATCTTAGTAATATTAGTTAAGATAACTAGAAATAATTTTACACATAAATATAACATATATGAAACTTGTGATTAGGTAGCTAATCCATACCATAATTACACCTAGGTAGTCTGTTCTCGAAAATTACTTACTCATTTGACTATATAGTGATCAATTAAATTAAATTAATACACGGGTTATATACATTTTTAAAAGATTTAAAAAATGAAACTATGAAAATCGTAACCTTACGGATCTAAAAATCAACTGATGTGGATCCATGATATTATTATGTTCCTCTAAAGGATCCATGATATTATCATATTCCTCTAGGGAACCCATGGTATTATAATATTCCTCTAAAGGATCCATGGTATTATCATATTCTTCTAAGGGATCCATGGTATTATCATACTCCTCTAAAGGCACAACTAAAAGAGAAAAAAAATCTTTTTATTTGACACTTTAAATATAATAAAGGTATCATAAATAATAAATGAAACCGTTATATATACTTCGAAGTAAACAGTTTGCAGTTACTGAATAGTCATATGTGTAAAGAGGTATAGCTGGGCCTAAAACAGTGGCATAATTATCTATAGGAAAAGTATTCGGCTGAAATTATCTGAAAATATTATGAAATAGAAAATTAAAGATGCTAACTTACTTGCATCGGTTTGTGTCGTCTCCTGATCATGTCCAAGTTTTTCGGAGCACTTTTTGCAATACAACTTGCCTTCAACTACATATCTTTTATATCTGCATTTACTGCATTCATCAATAATTTTACAAGTTAAGCCTTTCTCTATACAGCGAGTACAAGGTTTTTGGTCACTACATCCTCGTTTCGAAGCTCTGCATTCAGTACAAGCACTGGTAGTACGTTTTTGCTTTGAATCTTGAAGCTTATCACAGCAATCTTTTATCTCATTTGACTGCATTAATATTAAGTTTTGGGTTTACGGTTAAAGATTTACGCTTTAATTGACCAAAAAAAATAATAGAGCACGATAAAGGAAGAATAAACGTACTGTATAAAACGTTTTATCTTTTTTAATTCATAATCTTCCACAAGTTCCGCTGCTCCTTTCACAAGTTCCGCTACTGTCATTGAGTTTGGGTTGAAAACTTTTCAGGAGAAAACCATGTTTTATTAAGTCAAGAGAATCAAGAGAACGAAAAAATAGCTTCGTCCTGAGATAAACTAGATAATAAACCATCATAATTTCCAATTAATATATAAATCACGTGCTAAAAAAAAGAATACAGGTGGTCAGTTAAAGCACGGAGTGGTTTTAGGATTACCTTTTTGATGCAGTTAGGGTGAGTAGGTTATATAGATATCAAAAACGCAATTATCGGACATTCATTCAAATTAATTAAATTAATTCAATACGATATAAATTTGGAAATGAGCTACATCATGCATAATTACTTTCTTGATTTCTATATAAACTTTTAACCATAATTGCATCAAAAAGGTAACCTTACTGCATCAAAAAAGTAACTCTAACGCACACGGCTTTAGATTAGGAGGCGTCTAAAGTAACTGTCTTTAACAACTTTAAATGATGCTACTATGAGCAGGAGGGACCATCCTCGATAAGGAAATTGGTGTTACCATAGATTTCGATCATGTCGTAAATCATTAAAATTCATATAATTATTGCATTCGAAGGTTATGATAATTAAAATAAATTAATTATATAATCGATTTAATCTTTTAAAAGTGATATTGAAAGTTTATAAATTTATTTAATATATATGTATACATAATTGATAATAAATTACAAATTTAAAAATTTTTGCTTTGCATGCTCTAATAAATTATCTATTGCTGCACATTATCTGTTACCGTTTCAGCATTACCTAAATTATTTTTCTTCATGCCTTTAATACTCTCATCAATAACTTCATTTTCTTTTAGTTTTTTTGTTAAACTTGTCTATAATATGGTAATATTTTTTTTAATTTCATCTTGCAAATAGTCTTGATATATTGAGCATCTAAATTGACACTTTTGGAAATATTAATTATAATAGTTATATTCACATACAAGAATGTTATCATTATTTGAAAAGTTAGTATAATTAATATATTTATAATATATATAATTACAGAGAATATTTATAAAAGAATTCTTAGACTTCTTAGAAGATGATGATCTATTATTGTATAATCTAAAAAAGACAACTTATATGAGTTAACATTGTTAAATAAATTATTTTTTAAAGGATATTAATAGCATGCTTAATATATTTTCATAAAAATATCAAGAAGTATAATAGAACATTTTTAAGAAAACAAGTTCAACTGCTTTAATATATACAAATATTTCATAAATTTTACAAAATATTGTCAAAAAGTATTGTTTTTTTATTGTTAACAAATACAACATGTTTTTTTTTGCAATTATTGAGCTATAAAATATGCAGTTATTTATTAATGAATAATACTATAAATGATCTAGGATGATCACTTAAAGCAACAAGGTAATTAATAAAAAAATTAAATATTAAATGATTTATTTTCATCTAATAAAAAATATTAGAAAAGATTATTAAAAATACATGTTTGTAATTTTTTCTATCAAATTTAAGAAAGAAATTACTTCAATAATATATACAAGTTTTTTTATAAACTAGTTAATTGCTTTCCTAATAATGTACTATGTATATATTAAAAACTAAAAGAATTAAATTGCTTAAAAGATCAGTTAAATATAAAAATTATATATTTTTGCAAGTATGACTAAACTTTGAAAAAATAATATCAACTATATTAAGTCATGTTATATATATAATATAAAGAATTAGATCAATTCAACATAGATATGGTTTCTTATCAAGATTTTTCTTTTTTTAAAATATATTTTTATAAATATTATTAAATAAAAATATTTTTTTATATAAATTAATTTATGTACATTTAAAAAAAACATAAAGAGAACTTATTACAAATAAAAATGTTGAAATAAATAAAGAAATAGCTTTGTTATTAAAAAAAAACTTGCATAATTGTTTTTTAAATAAAAACTATTTAGTCCAATCTGTAATAAGTAAAATTACAAAACTAAAAAGATATTTTTTATTAATTCTTGATTATATATAACTTGAAAAGCCTTAGTATAGTTTTCTATGCATTACAAATTGCTTTTAATAAAATTAAAAAGAACTTTGTATATGCCAGTTACTTTTTACTTTCACTAATCTGTTATTGTAATTATATAATATTAATTTTTTCATAAGCTTATTATTAGAATATGTATTTAAATAATTTTGTATATAATCATTATAATGGATTCTAAAATTTGTTATAAATTATTTATTAAAATACTTTATAATTGATCTGCAGGTCGATAGTGAAGTGGTTACGTTCCCAGGTTACCAATCACAAGGTTGCTAGTTCAAGTCCAATGGGTGATGAAAAACTAAGTTAGGACTACAATTGTTGATTAGCCACAGCAGGTATGCTCTATAAAAATAGGAAGATCTTTGGTACCCAGATCCTTAAATGGTGACGGACCTGACATAAGAAGGCCGTGATGATTAGAGGGCTGAGAATAATAATAGAACAAAGGAATCCCTGATTAGGAATAGTCTCAGTGAAATTCTGGAGTAATAGGAACACAAAATTATATAGAAAATTTATTAAAAAAAAAGTATTAAATAATTAAGAGTTATTAAAAAAGAACCAAATCCTATTATT